ACATAAAGTACTAGGCACATGCAAAGAATGAATGGAATCGGTCCAAGGGATTCTGAGATATGACTCCGGACGGATGCACGGACGCACAGACACACGGACGGAGACTGAATTATAAGTCCCCGTTTTCGGACTTTGTCCGAATGGGGACTAATTACCAAGCACAATGATTACTACCTCCCATTATTTATTGACTAGAGACTAGTCTGTTGATTCAACGAGAGCAGGGTTCATCTACTTACATTAATTCTTTGTTCATACTCTGGTAGAAGCTGAAGACTCTGATCTGATAAAAGATACTTCAGGTGATGGAATTTGTCTTTGATTTTCATGTTTTCATGCATTAGATTAAACTGTGAAATATAAATATTATTTGCAACATTGGAAGATTTTTATTTTACCAAGTTCAGGAACGTGGTTATTCAAGTTATTCTACATGTTTACATGGATATATTTTAGCAAATTTTAGTACCAACAGAAATAGCAAAATAAAAAACCAGCAAATAATTAATATGTTAATTACATGATACTCTTCTTTGTAGAGAAATTTGTATATTTTGTTTCTCTCAAGGTTTCACAGCAAACCTCAAACATTGCAATATACCGTCTTATCATATACCTTGTCTTGCCTTTAATAACGCTATGGAAAGTGCGCCCTCACATCAGAGCAATAATTTTCTGTATCATGCCCGGCCCAGTGCACTCTGTTTTCATCAATCAAAACAATGATGTTTGAGGTCACACTGTGGTAAAATGTAATTACACCTATAAGGTGTATGATAAAACCCTTATGGACTGGATACAGCTTTTGCTGCTCTTGGTCGTATGGCTTACTTGCCCTTGCAAACTTGGGCACTCCCGTCGCACAGCTATGGTCACAAAATCTGTGTCCAGTCCATATTAATATACCGCAAACTTATTGGGTGGACTCAATTGGATTAGACTGCAGAGAATGAAGAGTGCACTCATAGCTTCTACTCATGGCTTGCAGCATGGTTTAATATCTAGAGAATATTGCTCATAACAACAGACAGCAGAAATCAACTTACATGTTGTTCAAACTGTGAACAATTGAGACATTTATATTTGGAAATTGAATTTTCCATCATTTTTTTCTGGTAAAACTGTTCAACAATGTCAATGTCCCTGATTTGGAAGTCAGTGACTGGATCCATGGCTTCCATACCATCTGGGTTACTTTCTATAAGTCTTAATAATTCCTGAGTAGCACTGCTACACGATGGACCAGGAGGTGCATCCCTAGAAGAAATCAAAAGATTACTGTATACTTAGTGGTATGAAGAAAAGTTCAGTAATTTTGCAATACAATTATAATATCAATTCTTTTCATAAGCCTGAAACGTAACAAATTAGATTCAATTTTAATCAATTGTGTCTGCTGCTATTGATTAGCAAAGGAATAAGAACAAATTTATTTCCAATAGTTATTGTTTTATTTCCAATACTATAAAGTTTATGTTTTAATTGAAAACTCAGCTAGACTCAGTTTGCTTCTATAATAATAAAGAAGTGTTGATGGTAATTTTGACACTGACCATAGTTCTCTATTGGATGAGGGCATCTCTAACCATGTGTAAATGTCCCTTACCTAAACCTTGGAATTTGTCTTTTTTTGTAATCCTCAATGACTTTATCACCTGACACTTTCATGGTTCTTGTTGTTATTACACTGATATTTTCACCTTTGACCTCTACAACAGTGTGTCCGCATGTACCCTCTGGATGATATAACCTTTTACTCGTCGGCGTTATCGGCATCGTGGCATTTGAAACTGATTGACTGATGGGTGAATCTGCATTTGCGTCAGTTATTATGAGCACTGTGAATGTGCGGACAGTGCTGGAACTACCACTCACGGACAAAAGAACTGCGAGTAAGTTCCGAAGATTACCGTAGTTGATTACCAGGATACGACCTGGTGTGAGGGCCTTTGCAGCGTGGGGATTTGTAACAATGAGTTTCTGTAAGTGAAATAATATGAAACAATCTTTCAATGTGTACTATAAAGCTTTAACAAGACATGCCACAGTATCGGCCTTTGAATTAAAAATACATGGCCTTATGTAATAGCTGTGATTTTGAACATTTCTTTGTTTGAATATAACCACATAAAGATGCCAAATCTTACTGAAATATTGTTTTTGACACAATTGCATGGGCAAAGTGACCCTACACAAGGCAAATATCATATGAAATACGATTTGAAAACTAAGGGTTGAGTAGTCACCATTCCATTGAAATCAGTCATGTGATGGGGCCATACAAAAATGTAATGCCAGACACACAGTATCATGACACACAATCATCAGTGAGAGATCGTCTGTGAGAGGCTTAGCCTCTTGAGATGGTGCCACATTTGACAGTTGTCATCTTGTACTGTAATCCCTGAGGTTCCCTTCACAAAACTGGATGGTGCCCCATGTGGAAGGCTAGACACAAGTGATTTGATGTACAACATCAGTATATAGTGTATATGCTATACTTTCAGTGTCCACATTTCAGTAATGACAAATTGACACAGGGAATGTTTTATTAAAAATGAAACTCAGAGAAAAAATATTGATAGTTGCAGCTACTGTCGCTTTAACCTTTTCACCACCAGACTTTCTCGCCATATTTTGCTGCATTTTTTTATATTCTTCAATATTTCTGGAAATGAACCCAAATTTTGGAACCATTTACTCAAAAAATGTGACTATTTTTGTCCTAATCTTCTGAAGGAAAGTACAGACTATAAACAGGACTATTTTGTGATGAAAAGAGGGAACTGGTGGTGAAAAGGTTAACCAAAATTTTTCCATACATTGTACATGTCCATGAAATGATGTTGGCCTGACTGACAGACGAAAGGAATGTGACACTGACATTGGCAGAAATGCAACAATGTCAGGAATATGAAACTAATACGACAAGACATTATATGTGGCATCTCACCTGCAAAGAGTGTCGCAAGGAATGTATTTCCTTACACGTCACATAATATTCTTGGAGATCACTTCGACATTGACTGCACTGGATCTCTTTCAGTTGTTTCATTTTCTCACTCAGTTCTTCCAGATTCTTTTCATTAACTTTAGCATTCTTCTGCATATGGAACTCAGAAAAGCTACGCTTCATCATGTCTTCAACTCTCAGAGCTTCCACTCGTAGAAGATTCAAAATCATACTGTACGTCAGACGAAATCGAGATTCCAATTCTGTTGGCTTTCCCTATAAAAAACACAATAGTCACAGTGTTTGTTTCAGTGCCAGGAAAAATCATTTCAAAATCAAAGAAAGCTTAGAAAGAACTCCCGTGTGCTGAGAGTATTGAAGACACAGTAAAAATTAATTCAAAATTACTTGTACTTGAGATATTGATGGAATAGCTGAAAACTAATTATGTAAATCAGGTAACTGATATGAACAGATTTATATGTAAAACTAATAAGGTCTGCACAATGTACCTAGTTTCATAGAACCCAAAAATTATTAATTATTATGCTAATTAGAGAGTTAATATGAACAGATTTTAACCCAAAATTAATCAGGCTGTCTATTGTCCTAGAGCATTTAGGTACCAAGTTTTATTCAAATGTGATGATCAATACTTGAGATATCAGTATTAATTAATTATGTTAATTAAGTGATTAAGAAGC